GGAGAGGGGCGTTCCTGGGGGGGTCCTGCCTATGTGGGGTTGCTGGTGCTGTTGCCCCCAAACTGCCGGCGGTCAAGCAGGTCCTTGTACTGCAGCACCAGGGTGACCATGCGGGCACAGAGCCGGCGCTCCGCAGGGCCCAGCCCAGCCCGCAGCTCGTAGCCCAGGATCTCGGCTCGACCCAGCTGCAAGGGGCGCAGCTGGGGGTCCCCAATGCGTGAGGCCGGCACCGGGCCCCCACCAGCCAGGCAGTGCTCAGCCAGCTCTTGGCGCCGGCCCCGCAGCCGGGCCACGTCCCGCGCCATGCGCTCCCGCCCATAGGCCTCCACCCGGGCCCAGAAGCTGCGGTTGACATGGGTGTAGAGCTGCCAGTCCAGCTCATTCCAGGCCCGGAGCTGGGCGGCCAGGCCAGGGGCCATGGCGGGGCCCAGTGCCCGGCGCCCGTTGTGCGGGAAGGCAGCCACGTCATCCTCATCCCAGCACAGTGCCTCCTGCAGCAGCACCAGCGACTCATCGAAGTGCTCGGTCAGCAGCACCAGCCTGAAGGTCCGGTCCAGCTGCGCCAGCGCCGCCTCCATGGCGGCATCAGCCTCGGTCCCGGATGCCGGTGGCACCGGGAGCCCGAAGTCGAACCAGAGCAGGTTGCGGGCGTAGTGGTTACCGCGGGCGGCTGGGTCGTAGTAGCGCTCCGGTGCAGCTGCAAAGTGTCCCAGGGTTCCAGCCCGGCGGAAGGCGGACACCACAGCTTGGTAGTAGGAGAAGGCAGAGGCCGCCAGTGCCGCTGGGTCACGCACGATGGAGAAGTAGAAGCTGTCAGCCTGCATCACCTTCTGCACCTGTGGGGGCATCAGCGGGGAGGGCTGAGGAGACACTTCCTCCCCAATTCCCCAGCCTTCTCCCTCACCCCAATACCCCACCACGGACCTCGGGCAGGTTGAAGCGCATGTGGTGGCAGAGGATGTCGTATGGGGCCCCACCTGGGCGGTGGCCCTTGATGTGCGGTTCCTGGAAGGGCAGGGGGTAGCCGAGCTGGTAGCGGTGTGGCAGGGCGAAGCGCAGGCCCCGCGCCTCCCCGAAGCGGTGCAGCAAGTTTACCACAGTGCTGCTGCCTGTCTTATGCGTCTTCAGGAAGACCAGGTGCTGCTGCGGCTCACAGTCCCGGGGGCGTGGCGAGGCGGAGAGCTCGTCCCAGGACAAGCGGGGGGCATGTGGCTGCTGCTGCTCCAGGGGGGCTCTGGGGGGAGAGGGAAGCGGTGAGACAGATGGACAGGCAGACAAAGCCCCCCCCCAAACTGGACACTGGTGGGGCCTTTCCCAGGACCCCGTGCGCGCACACATGGAACCCACGCGCCCAGGGCACAGACACGCAGGTGGGGTGGAGGGGTCTGACCTGCGGTGGAAGGGGCCTCCCAGCAGCTGCAGGGTGAAGCCGATGGTCATGCAGACGGTCAGGGCGACTCCGAGCACCCGGAGCCGGCAGCACCTGGGGGGCAGCCTCATCCTCCTGCTGGGCAACGTTGGGGGGCAGGTCAGGGGGACCCAGGTGTCAGGACTCCCAGCCCCCCCCCGCTCTTGCCCTTCAGCCCCCACGCTCCACCCAGAGAACCCAGCATCCAGGCTCCCATGGTCCTAATCGCTCCCTCAGCCTTGCTGGTGCCCTTCACTCTTGACTCACAGCCTGTTGCCCTTTTCAGCCCTGCCAGTTCCCCTCACTCCCAACCCGCATCCCCTTGCCCTTCACAGCCTTCACCTCCTGCCTCCCATGGTCCCCTCTGTCCCCAACTCTGGCCCTCTATGTCCTGCCCCCACCCTGGCCTCTCCCTTCTGAGCACACATAGCCCAACCCCAGCTCTGAGCCATAAAATTAAGGCATGTGGGAGGCTCAGGAGCAAGGGTGGGGGCATGGCCCCCCCCCCCACCTTCAGCTTCCCATCCCGGAAAGATGAGACATCTGAATGGGATGTTACCATTTCCAAGCCCCTCCCAGGTGGGACAGACAGACAGACAGACCGAACCGACCGACTGAATGCAGTGACGCACCCGGCCCAGGCCCTTCCATTGCAGTAGCCAGGTGCCCCTCCCTCCTGACCCACAGCCCCCTGTGCCCCGCAGCCATGCTGGTGCCCCTCACTTCCAACCTGCAGCCTCCTGCCTTCCCCTGCCTGGCCAGTGCCCCTCACTCCTGACCCGCAGCTCCCTGCCCTCCCAGTCCTGCACCCCCAATGCTCCAGGACCTGGGAAGCACCAGGGGATGTTGTGCTGGAGGGGCTGCAAGCTCTCTTCTGCCCCCCCACCTCACCAAGGTGGTCCAACCCACAGCCTTTTGCCCCCCTCCCCACCAGTGCTTCCCTACTTCCAACCCGCAGCCCCCTGTCGATGTCCCTCACTGCTAATCTACATCCCCCCTGCCCCCCACCTCAGCTGGTTCCCTTCCCTTGGAACCTACAGACCCCTGCCCCCCCCAGCCCTGCCGGTGCCCCTCACTCCCGACCTGGAGCCCCTGCCCCCCCTCCGCCAGCCCTGCTGGTGCCTCTCACTCCAGACCTGTGGGGCCGGGCTGGTCACACA